TACATGCTCGTTTAGTGTAGTGTGCCGCTCACGCTGCTTTGTGACACTGGAATTCGACTTCCAGTCGCATTTTGGAGGTAGCCAGAGTGGAGTCTCAACAGGTTAAATCTTCCTTGAATATGACCGCCTCACCAACCTCGCAGCGTGCGAGGAAAACCAACTTCTAAGGCCCCACATGTCAGCCCTGGACCCACACCAGCAAAGCTGTAGTGTAAACCAAGCCTGGCCTGTCATTCCAGATCACCAAGCAAGAAAACATAGCTAGACGCGACTTTTTCCCACTTCACCTCGAAACGTCTCTACATATTTTCACATTGCTTTCAATTGACGGAACAGTCTTTGTTTTTAATCTGCACTTTTAAGTTTTCCACAAAAGATTCTCTGCTTCGAGCTTGCTGAGGCCCAGAGCTTTAGTAGTAAAATAAAAAAAAACGCGACTTGTTGGAACGCAACCTTAAACCACCGACGTTTCCTCCCCCTTCTACACCGATCTTGAGCTTTTGAGAGTCTCTGACACCTCGACACTCATCACACTTCCTTACAGGGCCTGAGGTGAGTTCGTTCCAATCCAAACTCTCCAGCTTTCAGTCTTCCGCCAGGGACCTGGCCCAGAGTTATCGGCGCTAGTGGCGTTCAGATTTGCCATTGTCAGCTGGCTCCTCGGTCAGCCTTGGTGAAAGCTTTCCCACATCTCACAGCTTGGATCCGAGACCCGGAGACTGAGAAAGCGCTGGGTGACACAGAAAAACCACGGCACTGACTTGTTTTCACCAAGGCGCCTAATTTGCAACCTGAAGGCACGTCTTATTCACTTAGAGCACTGTCGATCCCACGTGGCTTCGAAAAACGGTCCGACCAGGAGCTTCGTCTCTCAGCTCCCAATTTATCTCATCTACCACTCCGTCGCAGGATCCACAAAACTTGATACTTGCCGGTCGTGAATATCCAAAACAAGAGGGCAAAGGTATGTATAACCTACACAGAGAACGGAATACAGACGACAATTCTCTGTCTTCCGCTCTTCATCAAGGCCCCTGCCATTTGCTTGTCACGCCGCACCGCGTTGGCAAATCAGCATGCGACGCGCACAGCAAGAATCGAACCAGGGTCTGGTGTCAGCCGCGCGATCCCGTTTTCATCTCGGCAATCCCACCCTAAAACCCCTTCAGGCATCGCATGAATTGGCTCCAAGACGGGGCATGCAACCTTGCTGGTGCACCGCCTTCCCGCTGTTCTTTTTTATATACCATTAAAAGTTCACCTGAAAGCTCCCTGAAAGACGTCTTTCAAAACTGACGATTTTGCGACTCGACAGCGATCCTCCAGCTAGCCCTAATATCGATCTTTGTTACCCCTAATTCAATCCTCCCATAATACCGATCGCCTTCGGAGCCCTCGGAAAGAAGGACTTTGTCGACTGGTCAACGCGAAAACAAAAAACAAAGGCATCACTAAACACGACGCGTTTACCCGTTCGACCCGTTTGACCGACAAGGAAGGGCGCCTGTGCAGCTACCCATCGGAGTGGTAGCAACTTTCGAATCAATTTGTAAGTTGCGAAGGCATTTCACGAGCTTGATTCAGGTGTTTGGGCGCGTTTCATGGAAACGGCCGACCAAACGCGTCAGGGCCCTGCGTGACTCTCTGGTTCCAGCAGCACACAGATCCGAGTGGAAACCAGTTTTTTTTTCTTACCCCCTACCCTTGAGTCGGCCTGCTACATCACCTGTCGATGACCGACCGATTATTCTCGGCGATGATCGGCGAACAGCAGCGTGACGTATCCTGAATCCCTGGCACTCTGCAGTCGAGCTTCCCGGAAAATGCTACCTTCACAAACATTTTTTTTTGCGCCAAACATCTATTGCAGCCGGAGAAAAGCACAACTAACTCGTTGCAAGAATACCGCAGATAACAACGAGCAGAAAACTCGTCTCAACATCCGACCCTATGGGACTGATAACCATGGCTCAACCGCGCCAGGCTTCGCGCCCGTTCGAGGGCCAGTCGGGTCATGACTCGGTGAGTGCCACTTTTTCGGTTCCTCTCTGTCCTGCGATGACCCACAACACCGGCACTTCCGTACATTGCAATTGTCGTTGTCACTGTTAAGTCATTACATACGCTTGGCTAGTCACGGGTAACCCTCCGCCGCGGTAGTACCGCCGGGATTGACAATTTCACACGAACATCGAGCGGTTACATCTAGCCGTTGCTCGGGTTAAAAGTTTATCTCGAGAAGTGTAACGGCAGATGGAACCCTTCTTCCCCATGCCCCTCGCATTGCCGTTCTTGCATTTCCCAAGAGTTCGACCACCCCGGCTCGCAAATGTTCCAGAAAACCACAAACCCTCGCATCCTTGGCTTGCTGGGGAGGGCCGTGCTTTGGGGTTTGTGGGAATTGCAGGGGGGACGCGACTTGTTTCACCACCAGCCAGGCATCTGGTAACTTGCCGCAGCTGGGGGAGGTGGCCGGGGGGTGTGCAGCGCGCTTCCGCTTAGAAGGAAGACGCGCGACCGCAAGCGCAAGCGTCGCCCGGTTGGATAGCATCGAGCACTGGCAGCGTGGTCCGGTTCCGTACCTTCGTGTGTTCGGCGAGCCATATGCCGTGCTTCCTTCGCACGGTCGCCCGCCCACCGGTAGTCCAGTCAAGCAGCAGCAAATGCTCATCTTGATGGCGGATGGCTGCAGCACACATCATGGTGCTTGTGCTTGCCGTTTCCGTGTTGCTTTTGCTAGGACTTCCCATGTGGCGGGCCCGAGGTAGCCACGGCCGCTTAACGGTGAAGTGGCTGGCCTGCGACAACACCATTCACTTACCCTCTCTTACCACCCCACGTATCGCCCCCCCCACACCGCCTACCTAAGAATCCTTGAACAAGCACAACAAGGACGGGCAAGACGATCCAGCGATCTCTGCTCCCGTTTAAAGCTTCTCCCATCCACAAACAGATCCAAATATGCTTTTCACCGCAGAGCCTGCGTGCGCCGGGTGTGCGTTGACAGTACTCGTGTGCGACGATCTTCTCCCAAGGCTACTGAGATGAGCGCGCCTTTGCTCGACAGTCGAAAGCCAGAAGTCAGTTGCACCTTTGGCAAGTGGGTACGGAGGCGACAAACCATCGCGTCTGTGGGGCTAGTGCACTTTCCTTGACGCGTTGTCCAGAGGCCAGACAATGAGCACGTCCTTTTGCGGTGATCAAAATCCACATTTTGCGCCTCGACGGGATTTCTCCACAGGTCACAAACATTTTGTCAGAGGCATGACCGCGTTGTCGTCTCATCTGCTGCCGCAGCAAAGTTGCTTGCGTCAAGGGCCTTTTCTGGGGTTCGGGTTGGTTGCAGCATGTGAGAGACATCAGAGATAGTGATCGATGTTGCCTCAGTATCCGAGTTGTCTGTTCTTCCGCTCATCTTGGTTTGCGACGATGATCCCCAGAAACACCATTATCCCTTCTGCCCACGAACGGTGCGCACAACGCGCGCCCATCGATGGCAGACGCAGATGGACCCGCTGGCTGGGATGTCTCCCTGACTTGGGGCCCGGGGGTACCGGTCATCGGGGACGGACTGCCAAGCTGCGCAGGGATTGCATAGCGGCAGTTGATTGGTCCTCTCAGCCTTTCTTCACCGCCCCTTGTCCTAGCCAAATGGAAGGCAAAGAGCGCAGCAGCTGGGGTGGGTCCCTTCAGGAAAACTTCCAGATTGCTTGCCGCTTCGGTGGTTAGCGTCGGATGGCTATTCCTGCTTGGGCAGTAGTCGTGCTACCTGGCACTCGATCGCGTCTGCCATTGGTCACCGCATCTAAATGCAGTTGCCCCCTGCAATCTTTTCTCCCCTTCTCCCCCACCTTGCCTTCGCCCCCCCCCCCCTTGCTCAGGTTTGTTCCGCCGTCATCCTTGACGCATCTTACCCACGCACCGTGACAATTTCCTTCATCGCGCTGTGAGAGCTCGGGGCCAGAGTTGCTTTCGGTGTTGATCGTAGTCGGTCTGGACTCCTGCTCCGGCCAGCTCACAAGACCGAACGGCGTTTTGTCTGGATTTCTGGATTGGGCCGCGGCTCGCAGTGCTGCCGCAGCGATTTCCTACGAGCCGAGTATTGCATCCATCAGAAAGCAGAAGACTGGACGCTGGATGCCCCGGGTCTGCTGGGTTCCCCAGTACATCGCCAGTCTTGACCGAACATCGATTTTTTCATTTTAAAAACCCCCTGTCCTGCCCCGGTTTTCCAGCATCTTTTACTCGGCTTTCCCTGCAAACCAACCCGGTTTGGCTCTGGTTTTACCCATATCGATTTTTTTTTCTGTCTGCTCTCTTCCATCCATCCGTACATCACTCCGCCAGATCCCCACAGACGCGACTTTTTTTTTTTCTGCCGTTTTGTTCACACGTCGCTGTCGCGCAAGTCGGGATCGAGCCTGTCACTCCCGCTCCCTCGCCGCGGCTCTGCATATTCGGTTAGTTCCCCTTGTTCCTTTGCAGCGTCTTCCTGCCTGCCGGCGGCCAGGGGTCGAGCTGGTCCTGGCCTAGGCTTCTGGCATTTAGGGCTCCGAGTCCTGGGGCGCGCAAGCGATCGCTTAGGCGATTGGCAACACCACGCTGTCCCCGAGAGGGCAATCCCAAGTGGGCGTCTCGAAACTTCGGGAGACGTTTCCGAGCCCTCGCTGCTCCACCTTAGTGGGTAGCATTTTCTTCCTGGCTCTCGCGGGCCCGGTTTGAATGCCGCGTGCAAAAGCTGCCCTGTCCTGCAAAATCCCACTCCAAATCCCCGAGACTAGCCCGCCTCACCCGTGGACCCCTCGTCTCTTTTCAGGGGTCCGACTTAACTTCCGGCTACCCAGTCCTTGCAACGCGTTTTAGTGGAAAAAAAAAACCATAACACACCAGACGCGTCCTTGCCCTGCACTAGACCGCACACAAAGATACTCGACACGCATGGTTTTTGCTTGGACAAGAACCTTGAACCTCGAGCAGTAAGACTAATGGTTGTGGCCTCTATGCAGCATCACACCGCCCATCACCAGCAACAGGGTCCGGTTCCTCCTCTTCTACAACACTCGAGACCCTCGAGCATTGTCCAGCAGCACCACAGCCAGGCGCCGCCCCAGCAGCCGCCTCAACAGCAGCCCCAACAGCCACAGACCCAGCACTCGAGCGCGTACCCGTACCCGCCACAGAGCCAGACTAGCAGCTCGCAGGATCACGCGCTGTCCTACTACGCTCATCCAAGTCCCTACAGCACGCCGGGCGCGACAAGCGGATACACGTCCGCAGGTACGTTGGCCAAACCCGCGTTCGTGGATCTTGTTGTGTTCTCAGCTAACGCGCATCGCGGCAGACACTGGCGACATGATGGCTGCCACTATGCCGAGACCGTATCCCCCCATGTCCTATCACACGCCGCAGTCGAATTCCCCGGCTTCGGTGGCATCACCCTCCGGCCATGACCAGCAGCGGGGCATGTACGGGCAGCCGCCCTCCCAGCTACATCAGCAGTCGCTCTACTACAGTGCTCCTCAGCAGCAGTACTCGTCGATGCCCGCGCAGGCCGCACAGTCGCCGTACGCTCAGCATGCGCAGCAACCACATCAGCCGATGGGCTCTCAGCCCAGCATGATGATGTCGCATACTGCTCAGCAACACCAGATGAGCCAGCATGCGCCGCAACACTCGCAGCCGGGCATGACGGTTAGCCCGCGGCCGGATGCCAAGATGGACCCCCATGGCCTGAACCACCAGATGTCCAGGACTTCGGGCCCTGTCGCCATTGGCAGCAGTGCCTCTACGAATGCTCAGAATGGCGGCCAGGTGTCGACCACGACTACTTCCACGTCGCAAGTTAATTCTAATGCTGCGCCGGGGCCCATTCCGGCTACCACACCATTGGTAGTGAGGCAGGACACGAACGGTGTGCAGTGGATTGCTTTCGAGTATTCGCGCGATCGCGTCAAGATGGAGTACACGATTCGTTGCGATGTTGAGTCTGTCAACACTGATGAGCTGTCTCCTGAGTTCAAGGCCGAGAACTGCGTCTATCCTCGTGCATGCTGCCCCAAGGAGCAGTACCGTGGCAACCGCCTGCAATACGAGACCGAATGCAACACTGTCGGTTGGGCTCTGGCCCAGTTGAACCCGCCTCTGCGTGGCAAGCGCGGTCTCATTCAACGTGCTGTTGACAGCTGGCGTAACAGCAATGCGGACCCACGGCTGAGGAGTCGTCGTGTTCGCCGCATGGCCAAGATGCAATACCGCAATCAAAAGGCAGGTCTGCCTGCTACTCATAATAGCCAACTCCCCCAGACTCACAATAGCCAGCTACCCGGTACCGCGTCGACCGGCATGACCACTCCCGCTGCTCTGCCGGCTGCTACCGATCCGTCGATGGCCAACTCGGGCCTCAGCAGCATGCCGCCTCAGCTGCACCACCACCATACAGCCCCTCAAACAGCGGCAACGGACGGGAAAACTCAGGGAGGTGATGAAGTCGGTATGTTTCACCAGATGGCCTAAAGCGCGCGCGTTGTTGTGTTTAAGTGTGATACCTCTTCGAGCCGCCTGTTTTACATGCGAATATGCATTTTTTTTCCCCGTTCTTTCCTCTATTTCCTTGTCTTCTTTTTTAACCCCCTCTCTGTTCGGGTCATGTTTGGATCATTCGGGATATACTCGCTACGCGTCCCCTTTGGCTTGTCATATACTGGCGCGTTTATTCGGTTTTCGAGCACCACTTTATACTGGGACAGCTACAGGAATCCGTTGTTACAAAAATATCTGTACATTACAATAGTTGCGTTTGCTGTTAGTTTTTGTTTTGCTGGTTTTCGGTCGTCGTTGAGTCGTCTGGCTGGCTGCTGGCAGAACGTTCTGCGTGCGTTGCATTGCATCTTGCATGCTTCGCAGCTGCACATTTCATCAGCATCGCACCGTCACATATCAAGCAACAAACACATACACCTCGCAAAGCTTTTCGAGCAGAGCGGGTGGGAAAGAGAAGACAGAAGAGAAAGACAACGAAAATAATGGGACATGGAAGGATACCAAGGAGAGAGAGCAAAGTTTTGCGAGTTCAGCAGTGTGTTCGTTGAAAAGGGAGCCTGAGCCAAGATTGAAATGATGGCCCCTTAAGATGATTCACCACCTGTACTCTGCTCGTTAAGTTATTGCGTTGCGTTTCTGTTTGCGATTTGCGAGTCGAGTTGTTGCTCTGCTGTTGCCGCGCTGCTCTTTTTCTGGCTTGAAGACGGGATCACACTGGGCATGATCCGACGCGCGCTGTCTTGGCCTTGAACCCCCCCTGTCCTTGACGAGCCCTTGCATGCCACACGTAGAACGCCGATAGGCTAACTGTGTGTTCCTTTTTTTAGGGGAGTATCCGAATGATCAGCAACACCACCATCATCACCAACCCCCTGTCCAATCTGGCACCGATGAGCGTCCCGCCCAGGTGTTCACAGGTTATGGTGTCTACAACGGCGCTCCCCAAGCCTCGTCTTCTATGTCTTCCATCCACGACGCCATGAGTGGCTCCCATGCCACCACTGCAGCGCGGCGGACCGCTTCTTCTCGTCGGGGCTCTGATGATACTCCTGATGACCTCTTCCCAGATATCCCTGAGGCTAAGAAGCGCAAGTTCATCTTGGTCGAGGACAGCGATCGCCAGAGCCGTCTCCGTGTGCGCGTGACTCTCGATGGAGTCGATACACGCGAGATCCCGGATAGCTTCCGCAAGAGCAGTAGCGTGTATCCGCGTTCATACTTCCCTCGCGAGATGCAAAGTCCTCCCCCGAGTGCTACTGGCAGCAAGTTCTTCACCGATGATGCAAGTGACTATGAGGATGACGGGACTACCGACACCGAAGGCCGCCGCTATACCCGTATCAACCGGCGGGGCCGTACCATGGTGAAGGTGCCCATGGCTGAGGGCCAGGAGGGCGAGATCGCCATCCCTCGTATGCGTAAGATGTTCCGGGGCAAGGAGGTGCGGTTGAATGACCTTGGGTACCGCATGGCCTGGCTCCAGAGCCGTGTGTTTGCTGGCCGGACTGTGTTCTTGCAGAGAGCTTGTAAGTATACCTCTGGCAGCCAAGGTTCTTCTGACACTAATGAAAATTACTAGTGGATTGTTACCGCAACAAGACCCGGAGCGCCATGGAGTCTATCATGCAGGACGTCAAGACGACGGCACCGCACTACGAGACGCGCGTCGGCAAGCGTCGGTTCAACGAGCGCATGCGCAGCGGCGAAAAGGAGGACGAGTCGTAAATTATGCCTTTTGGAAAAACGTATGACCTGAATGAACCTACCGGTCGATGATTCAGCTAGCAAGATCGGAAATGTCGGATTATAATGTCTTGAGTGCCAATGAACCGAGTGGGCTTTTTATGTAAAGCTCAGGCTCTCTCATGGAACTTTTTTTTTCTCCGGATGGGTCCTCCTCGTCTTGCTGTATAGTTTCCTTGTCGGCTATGCTCGGCTGGGGCCCATGTCTCTGCAAGACTCGGAGCTGTCTGGGGAATTAGGACGGACGGCGTTTGCTGGGTCAATTAGATGAAGACAAATATACTCAGCAACCAGCAAAACAGTACAACGAAGAGTTTTCGATGTATGTTAGGTAAACTATATGGTGCTTACATGGTCGGATGGATTTGGACAGATGTCATGTTGGTTGGTGTTGGTGTCATGTATGGCTGGTTAAATGGATGTATAATAAAGTGTGTGGGTATAAATGAGATAGGGTCGCCCCGTTTAGTTAAGAGATTTGTCTTACTGTGCTGGTGTGAGCCCTCTTCTCATTTTGATGGGATTGGGGCTGGCCATTTAGCGGATATGGGTTGTCAACGCTGACATGAGTTGAACGGGATGAGTCAATAGCTCCTGCAGAAAACAGATACAAAGATTTAAGAGCCCAATTTTGTATGAGATATCGCGGTTTGCGATGGATCAAGCAAATGGGCCAACTCGGTAGATGAGCTGATGAGATGCCCAACTAGACAGATGATTTACGAGAACTGAGATATAGTGCCCATCAAGCAGGCGTGAGCCCTGACTCAAATTTGTCCTCACACGTCTTAGACCATCCAGAGCGATAGAGCTTGTATGCGAAATGCATGCGAATACTGAGCCGCAGAGCGATATGAAAAAGACGAGAGAGATAATATTATACGCAACTCCAATCCCTAGATGAATGCTAGATGCAGCGCGATACCAGCATTACTGAATGTAGATAAGAGATATAGCGTTTAAGAGGGTATCAAATCGATTTATCTAGCCATCTGACCATCGATCATTGTCACCAATTCTTAACACTACCCGAGACAATACGATACCTAGCTATGTAGCACCAATAAGAATTTGACTCAATTCCACCATCACCGCCATCGCCATTCGTTCATTCCACTCTAGTGCAATAGGTAGATGGGCAATGAACATCTAGATAGATAGCATCAGACAGAGAAGACATAGGGAAAGGTGGGGTTGAAGACAAAGAAGATAATTCCATATGTTCATGAGTGATCCAGGAGAGCATGTTGTGATGAGTGGTGTCAAGCGAAGGACATCTGTCATGCCATGCATGCATGCATGCATCCATCCATCCATTGAGCCAGACATCGATCCATACCGTGATCTTACATCTTCCCTTCGACAGGAATAAGCAAGTTATTGAAGAAAGAAACAGACCAAGAAAAAGAGAAACAGGCCAGATTAAGAGAAGAGAAACACTGCACATAAACATGATCTCTTTTAATCCCAAACATGTATCGTCGACGAGGTGACGATGAATGACAGAGGGTATCCCATCCGTACACATTCCATCCATCCATCCATCCATCCATCCATCCATCCATCCCATTCTTCCTTTCTATCCCTTCCCTTCCCCACCCACCCCCAAAATCTCAAACTATCCCATCCTCCCAATCTCATCTTTTCCTTTGAGAGAATTTCCCTCCCTCCCCTCCTTCCCCCCGGCATCCATCCAAAAATAAATCTTCCCGGTACCTACACTACACCTTCCTAGCCTCAAACAACCCCAAACTCAGCGCCGTATCGTTCTCCCCGACCACCGGCGTCGGCTCACTAAGCGCTTCCCACCGACGGAAATGAAACACGCTGAACCGTTCCGTGGCCGCACCACCGGGACGATCGAGCCCCCACAGGGAGATAGGCGTGCCGAGGAGGACGCACATGCTTCCCGTTCCTGTTCCGGTGCCAGAGATGTTGGAGTTGGAGTTGGAGTTGGAGTTGGAGTGGGAGTGGGAGTGGGAGTTGGGATTGGTATTATTGTTAATAGTAGGGTTGCGCGTGCCAGGAGGAGCAGAAGCAGAAGAGGAAGGTTTGGCACCACCGCTGTCCCGATGACAAAGCACCAGCCCTCCCCCTGAACCACCAAACCCGATCCCCATCCCGCCTCCCCCACTACCACCAGCGGTAAACACCGACCCTGCCCCATCCCCCTGACCTTGTTGCTGCCCCCCGGATTGCAGCCCCGCAACACCCACATCAAACCCCACGCCCCACGGCACACTCAATACATACCTCAACCGCCCATCCAGTGCCAACACTCCTCCCGAGCCAACAGCTCTCACACACGTCAGTCTGGCCTCCTCAGGCAGGTTATCTGCCAGCAGACACGCGAGGTCAAACACCCTCCTTGAGAGGTTCGCCACGGCGCGTGCCAACGCGGTATGTTTCTCCTGCCTATCCTGTCCCTGGTCATGCCCCCCAACGGTGCCGTGTTGCGCCGGGTGTGGGAAGGCTAGTTCCGCGGGTAACTCCCCCTCCGCCGGGAGGGGATGAATAACCCCCGTCGACGATGATGCGGAGTTATCCGGGCCAGGAGGGCGAGAGAGTTCGAAGAGGTCGACGGCGTGATCAAGGAGATGCAGGATGCCGGCGCAGGCGATGAGCAGCTTGGCGCGGAGGTCGGCGGGTTGGCGGGAGAAATCGAGGGAGGATTGGGTGTTGTTGTGCAGGGTGAGGAGGTTGAGGAGGAGGGGGAGGTGATAGAGAAGGAGAGAGGCCTTGGTTTCGGGGTCGACTCCGACTGTGGGCGTGTTGCCCATGGGTGTGTCTTCCGATTTGGTGTCTTGGGGTTGGGAGGTCGGGGAGGCGAGGATCTCCCATAAGTCGACCAGCTTGTCGACTACGGCAGGAGAAAGCTGTGCTTGACGGGGGCTGCCGCCCGGGGGGATGGGACTGGTAGCGTTGCTGCCGCCGCGCATGATGGCGTCCATAACGGAGAGCAAATTCTCAGCCATGCGCAGATTCTGCTCCAGCGACGCCTGGTCCGCAGCAACTCTCCCCGAAGAACCCGTAGCCTTCCCCGGCGGCGAAGGCAACAACTCCAAAAACCTGCTCTGCGCCCTAGCTTTCAAATGCTGCGTAATATCTGGACTGAGCGAGCTGAGCATCCCAACCCAAGCCACATTCCCCGCGGCAATCGCCTTATCCATCGCATTGGCCAACAATTCCACATGCGACGTTTGCTGCTCCTGCCCATCCTCTCCAGTAGTAGTAGTAGTAGTGTTGTTGTTGTTGTTGTTGTTGTTGTTGCTCAGACTCAACGCGAGCGCAAGCTTAACCTGACAAAACGGTAGCGTAAACTCGTTGGTCAGCTCTAGCACCTGCTCAAACGAGACCCGCGTCGTCTGGGGTGCTGCCGCGGTCGGAATCAACAACTTGGTCGTCATCCAGTCAATGCGAGCCATGACCTGCGGATTTGTACTCCTGACGCTCAGCGCGCGCGCAACGCCCGTTGCGTCGCGCAGGACGAGCCTTTTCAGTAATTCGAACAGCAGCTCCTGGACGTAATCTGCGTCGAGGGGGAGGCCTTCAAGGTCATTTTGTGCGCGGGCGTACGAGTACTCTGCGAGAGCAAGGAAGATCAGGTTGAGGACTTCCTTGGGCGAGTCGCGGACGGCTTGGTCTTGGAGCACGAGGAAGCGGTAGGCTTCGTCGGCAGTAAGTAGATCGTCCTGCGGGACCGGGGCCGTGAGTAGCATCAAAACCTGCTGCATGTACCTCGTCCGGTACGTAATCTGCACAACCTGGGGTACGCCCCCCGCAAGCGTAGCTGGAGGCGGGACAGGGACCCGTTGTTGTCCAGCGCCAGCAGTAGGAAACTCTGACGCCGTAGCCAGTATCGTCCCGAACTCCAAACACCCCACCGACACGAGCAGAGGAAAAATCCTGAGCACACTCGGCCTGCTCCCCAACGCTCTGAGGTACATCAACCACTTTACCATCAACCCGTCAAAACATTGCGCATCAAACGCCCTCAGCCTGCCCAACAGCGTACTATAAGCCCGCTGCTTGGTTGCTGCGGCCCCCCCCCACGCAGCCTGCAGCCTTTGCACAATCGTTTGGAACAACCGCTCCATCGTATTCCTATCCAGACTGGATCCACCCGCAAGCAGCTTCTCAATCTCGTCGTGCAGGTCAGAAGCATCATCCTGCTGCTGTTGCTGCTGCTGCTGCTGCTGCTGCTGCTGCTGCTGCTGCTGCTGCTGCTGCTGCTGCTGCTGCTGCTGCTGCTGCTGCTGCTGTTGTTGTTGTTGTTGTTGTTGTTGTTGTTGTTGTTGTTGTTGTTGTTGTTGTTGTTGTTGTTGTTGTTGTTGTTGTTGTTGTTGTTGTTGTTGTTGTTGCAGGCGCGAGACCATGTTATCCGAGACCGGGGAGCAGGCGTCGACAGGGTTGTGGCGGTCGGTGAGGGCAAGGTCTTTCTTGAGCCGTGCAACAACATCCTCCATGCCGGGGATTCTTGCTCCTAACGACACTAACGAGACGAGTAAAGGGCGGAGGGTGATACCCTGCTCGCGGACGGCGGTAGTCTTGAAGCGCTGGTGGAGGGCGAGGAAGATTGGTGATGCGGCGTCGAGGGCAGAGAAGATGAAAAAATGTCTGTTGACGGTGTCGGCGATAGCGGGGAGAATATCAACGGTGCAGTGCTTGGTAAGCGTCTTGAGGACATCCGCCAGTATGGTAAAGTCCTCGGCAGCCTCAAGAACGGAGCGCATGCCGTAGAAGACGGAGGGTGAGACATCAGGTAGCTGTGGGCCCCCTTTCTCCTTGTCTCCCGTAGAAGAAGAAAAAGAAGAAGAAGAAGAAGAAGAAGAAGAAGAAGAAGAAGCCAGACTCGCCCGAAGCCAGCTCCCGACCTCCCCCTTCAACGTGCGACTCGCTTTAGAAATCCTCTTCGTAAGCTTGGCCATAGCCATAGGCGGCCGCTGAAAGATGGGATCATTCGGCTGCACATCTGGCATGGGCATGCCAAAGGTATATCGCAGATGCTTAATCGCAACAACCGTGTTCTCCGCCTCATCAGCGACACTATACGACGCACGTCTGAGGATACCACTCCGAAGATTTCGTTCCGATGAGGTCAGCACACAAGGAGGCATCTCAGCAAGCAGCCTCGTCGCAGCCGGCCCGTCAGGGGCAACTTGCTCCGGCCGCCGAACCCCTCCACGGCCCATCAGCCAACGGATGTATCTCGACACTGCGAACAGCGACGCCCGGACGAGCTCGCAGACCAAATGGTAAAGAGCATTCTTGCGGGGCTGTTCCTCGAGGGGATCGTCACAAAGAAAATCGAGGACGGCAAGGGTGACGTCGAAGCCGAGTGTGCTCCAATGCTGTAGGATCTTGCTCGTGACATACACCTTGGCCAGGCCGGGGCGGTAGAGGGAGGTACACCATTCGAGCAGGGCCCGGGCTAGGGCTGGTTTGTCTTGAGAAACGCTCCAGCACTGCGAGGGCAGGTCGGATGGCATGGGAGCGTGCAGGGTCCCGTCTAGCATGCCCACCAGGATGTGGCGGGCAGCGGGCTGGGAACGGTTGGCCGATGCGGCGAGCTGTTCGTTGCGGAGGTTGATGGCTTCGAACGAGTTGCGTCGGGCCTCGTCACCGGCGGGCAGACACGCCTGAAGCGCATCGCGGTACTTGATCCACGCGGCGGGGCAGACAAAGTTCTCGGGACTGCTCAGGATAAGGGTATTAAGACAGTCGGTTAGGGTCTTGAGAAGGGGATTGAGAATATCGCGATCAGGGTGGTTATATATCTGCTCTGCGTGTTAGCTGCTGCCTGCGTACCAAAACAAGCGTTTCTCTCCAACGGTCCGTACCAAGTGATGGTGGCTAATCAGCGCCGTAACCAGCCGGCGGCCGTACTTGCGAAGCTTGAGCAGGTCGCTCCAGTACAGCTGCGTCAGAAGCATCCACATCGGCAGCCTGGCCTCCGAACTGTTCTCCAGGCTCGAAACAAGCCACTCCGAATAGTGTTCCCGATCCAACAGATGCTCGGCATACAAATGCGCGGCCAGACGCGTGGTATAGTGCACCTTAGCCTTCCAGTCATCTTCGTCGAACCCGAAATACACCTGCTCGATGAACTGTTCGACCGATATCGTCCAGTCCTTGATCCAGCGGGACTCGCCGCCCACGACGAGCGTGCCCACGCCCTTTCGCTTGGTAGCGCGGATCTCGTTCGCCCCGACGCATTTGATCAACCAAACGGCGCGGTCCGTAGGCACATTCTTATTCAGACATTGCTCCAACAGCACCTTGCCGCGAATACCATGGGGAATCGTCCGGCTCAGGCGGCGCAGCGAAATAGCCGGATTGGCAAGATCCTTAAGCCACAGCTCGCGCTTGGTATCCGTCAGCGTCACGCGCGGCGGGGGTTTGAACGTGGACGGGGTCGTGATCTGTCCGTTATGCCGGCGCTGCCCAAGTACTGCCGCAAAGACCGACGACAGCGCCGTCAGACCTGTCTTGTGCTTCAGTGCCGGGAAGAGCGTCGCCTTCGCGGACTGTGTCTCGGCCGTCGAGAAGATGCCCTTGTCGTAGTAGCCGTTGCGGATCACGTGTTCCGAGAACTGATCCTCCGGTCCGTTGCCCGTCCAGGGGAAGAAGTCTGCGTATGCGACGGTCGTCTTTTGCTGGTCGTTACCGCGCACAGGGTAGCTCGGTGCTGCGGCCGGCGGCTCGACGGTGAAGGGCTTTGGGCGGCTGTCCTTCTTGCTGGTAGTGTTCGAGGCCGCCGGCGGTTGCGCGGCTGGTCGTTGAGGCAGGACGGTATTGATGCGCGCCGGACGAGCGGGCATGGGCAGAGGGGCATCAAGATCGGCTGTGTGCATGTGTGTGGACGGATCCGGGCTCATGTCGCCCATCTCGGACGGATCCATGGGGGGCATGATGCGCGAGGGGGTAAAGGGCTTCGAGTCGGCAACGCAGCTCGGGGATTCTGTCAGCGATGTGTCGTGTAGGATGGTCGATGCGGCCGTGGGGTCGGCCGGGTCGCTGTTGTAGATCTCGAGCTTGAGACGCGACCCGGGCCGGCGATGGAGGGTTTGACGAGAGGGCATGGCGGCGGCGCCATCACCGAAGTCTGGGGTCGTCGTCAGATCATAGCCGTTGACGTCTCGACGCACGGGCGACTGCGATTGCGGGGGGAAGTGTGCGTGTTGTTGCAGCGGGTAGGCATGTTGTTGAAGCGCTTGGTGTGGAAGAGGCTGCTGCGGCGGTGGCTGCTGGGCGAGCACGCGTTGCTGCTGGTGTTGGAGATAGTGTTGATGTTGATGCTGGTGCTGATGAGGCGCCGAGCGCTGCGACAGACTCGACGTGGGCAGCTTGTGGGTGTGTTGATGTTGGGGCGGTCGCGGTTGCTGCACGCCCAATGGGGGCCGGGAGGTCATCGCAAAAGGGGCAGCGCGCTCGCCATGCCGATGGAGTTTGGAGACCGGAGGTTGGTGATTATGTAGCGAGTCGGGTGTCGAAGAGGTCGAGTAGAGAGAAAGGGACGAGAACTACTGGCGCCAGGTCGGCACCGCAGCAGCGCAAGCGGGACGAAAGACGACGGGATGAGAGAAAAAGAGATTTTATGATAGGTGACAGATGACAGGAACAGGAACGGCGACGATGTGCCGTCAGCACGTGGGCTCCGTTTAGCGCGGGGATGAGCCGTCTGTCTGTCTTGTGTGGTTCTGCCGTGCGTTTAATGCTTATCGGACGCTACGGCCGACGTTGACTCGATATTCGTGCAGTCTTGTAGAGTCTGGGAGTCAAGTCCCAGATTTGGCTGGGGTCTGCAGATGACGTTGGCGATTTGGCGATTGATTGATTGATGGGGGATGGCGATGGCCTGAGGTCGGGCCGGAGGTTCTGGCTAGGTCCGCGTCCCCAGATCCTGATCGGGACACTCACTGTTGCCAGCGGCGGCTGCGGTCACCAAAACCTTTGGATGGACAGGCATCCAGGCGCTGCTGCTGTTGGGGAGGGATCCCTGTAAGGTCGTTCGCAAAACGATTCGCAACGTACGCGGAGGTGGGCCGGTCCTCGGCTCGATGTTTCGATGCTTGGCCGCCCACTGGCCGCCGCTGAGTGGCCCGAGGGAGCCTCTTTACTTGATGTGTGGCGCTGTGACTTTGATTGGGGAGAGGGGAGGGGGCTGGACCGACTTGTTTACTTTTCGACTTTTTGTCAGATCCTCGATCGGCGTCAGGAAAAGTTTTGTCGGTTGATCGTTTGCCTGCAGGGCATACAGCTGCCAGCGGTTTCGTTTCGGTTTTATTTTCCGCTCAAGTGATTGATCTTGCTGCCCTTAACTGCATCACAGCACACTCGCAGCAGCGTCCACAGATAGTTGTCGGCTGATTGGCAGGCCTGCAGAGGATAGGGATGATGATGGACTTCATGAAAAATGGATCTCAAGTGGTAAGCCTGCCCGGCGGGTCCCCTCGAAGAGCTTAATCGAATGGCGTGCCAGCGTGCCACAATCCCGCCCGCTGCCCGACTTCCAGAACGGGATTGCATCTGCGCTTGATACAGTGTGTATTTTTGGGATCGTACTGTAATCTGAACTTGTGCCCAAACCTGGTGAGGCAGCAATCTCTAGAAATCTGAGATGATGGTAACTGATCAAGATCACAATTTTTTAATCTTCAAATCAAAGCCTCATTTTTTTTTCCCAAAGGTAGCAATATCGAGGCTCAATTTTCTAACGAAAACTCGGTTTAACATGCGTTCCATTATCTTCCTTTCCTCCAACCCAGCTCCTCACCCCCCACAAGCTTGCGCGCACCACGGCTCACAGTGTGCGGCCCAGCCAAGCCCAAAGCCCCACCTCAACGCTCTTGGCATGGCCCCCTCTCTGCCTTTCTGGGCTCTCCTCTCACCTGCGATATGGTTCGCCAAAAACACCATCTCTGGCTCACTATCATCACCCGCCGACTTCTCTTTTTGTGTCATTCCTTTCGCATACATGCAGCGGGCTGCTACAGGATACGTTAAGCGGTAGGGGGCCACAGGATCAACTGACGGATCACTTTCCCTGAGCCAGGCGGGCAAAAACATCGACAAAGAATTGAAGCATCTCGTGCAGCTGTCCACAATCACTTCCATCTCCCGCATGTCGCCCTGTCTGCCGATGTGGATTACCTACCTGTGCAAATCATGGATTATCTAGTGTGAACGTGCCACAGAAGCCAGACAATGACACAGTGAGTTGGTAGTTGATACGGGCTGCCTATTATTCTGTCATCCGCCCTAAATGGACGCTTTGTGCAACGGGTAGGGTGGGTTGCAGCAGTCCACGGAGTTTGTCCGAACCTCCATCTCCTCCCTCCCACTTTTAGTCTTCGAGATATGGATGGGTGGGATGGCTGCCCAGATAGCCCCAGATCGCGGGGATCACCGTTTGGTCATATGTGTTATGTGTCCATCCAGTTCAGATCTTTCGGCCGTCTTGCTGCTTCAGGTTGGGTTGGGTTGTGTTCAGTCTGTACCGCCGCCGAGGAAAGAAAAAAAAAATGCTTACACATACTGTCATCACCCCATTGGTATGTTTTTGCGCATTCTAAGGGGGACTGTGTCGCCATCGTGTCTCGGGCGGGTGTCCGTAAGGTATTGGCAGAATCGAGCTTTGAGTGATCCCGGATTCTATGCGTGCCCTGAGTTCAGGATGTCTTTACATCTGCAGTTTGTCTGCTAGCCAGTTCCTGGGTGAGCTCCGATCAGGTTGTCAAACAGCTCATATTGTATGTCTAGATTGTCCTGCTATTTCGCCTCGAGGTGAGCCCATGTCTCGGGATCATGTTTGATGTTTGTTGCGCCGATTCTGAGTATGCTGAGTCATTTATCCGATTTTTGTTTTCTCATTCAGCAGGACCAGTCCTCGATGCTCGAATCTCTTCATCGCTTCTTAAACAGTTAATGGAAGGCTTCTGAAAGCAATGATGCCCAGACCCTCTCCCGCTGACCTCAACAAACAGGGGTTTTTGGTTTTTGGGGGTGGGGGGGGGGAAGGGGGTGGGGTCCTGCGTGCGTGCTGCTGTGCTGTTTGTGTCCAGTGGGACGCTGCCCCCGTTAAAGTTGTGGAGACGGACAGCTAACTCCGAAAGGGGCGACCACTGCTGATTGCTGCCAGCCGACCGGAGCAGTGCAAACCTCCAAAGCTATCCAAACACCACGACACGTCTTCCACGTCGTCCACGTCGTCGCCAACCCTTTGTACGATTGTAATCTGGTTTTGATTGCCTCAAGCTTCTTCAAATACACCAATTCCATCATGGCGACCAGGAAAGATAAGGATATGAGGCGGCCGGACCTGGGTAAGTTGCCCTGGCTGATGGGACAGTTGCGATGCGTGTCCAAAACCAATTGCGTCCGCCACCACGTTAAATATGACAGCCTGTCCTGACAACTTGACAACAATAGTCGTCCCCTACATGGAACCGGCCCTCAAGAACGACAACGTCGAGTTCCAGTCGACGCTGGCCTCGACATTGCCGATGGCGGCTGTGTTTATGAGGAACCGGTTCTTGGGCTGGTAAGCCTTTTTGCGATCAACAGACCTGACCTGCTGCAAAAAGGAGGACGAGCTAACGGGTGATGATGATGATGATGATGATGATCCAGGGCCGCTGTCGTCTTTGCCGTGCAGAGCTGGCTTGGCGAGAGCGAGGAGATGAAGCGGAGCACGGCCACGCCAGGGTATTTCTCGGTTGGCATGTCGAGTAAGTGCTTGCTGGAATTGCGACCCAGATCTATACCACACATAGCTAATCTGACCCTGTTCAGTCATGTCTCTCATCGTGACCTACCTCCCCATCTTCCTTCCCCCGCCGCCCGGCCAGGCTGGCGCTGCTGCTCAGGCGGCGGCCGCGACTACTGCTGCGCCTGCGTCGTAATTTGCAGGATGTTGACAGTCTCGGTATCGATATGATGAGCAAAAAAAAAAAAAACATAAAACAAAAAAAATGTTGGACAAATACGCTCCTTGTTGCGAATAATGTTATAGTTTATACATAAACTGAATACGGGAACGATGAACGGTGGATGGTGGACGGTGGACGGTAATGTGATGCTTCGTACAGTGTACAGGATATACCCCATAATATGAAAATCTAACCTAATACCTACGATGATGAAAATGGAGCTGTTTGTCACCGTCATCTTCCTCATCATGTTTTGCTTGGTCGGACTATTTCGGTTATGGCAATGAACAATGAGGCCTCACTCCCATTCGGCATCACATCAAATCACAAGTCCTCTTTATGATGACCACCGCTGTGTAAATTTTTTTTATTATCTTTGGCTCTCCGTAAGATGGGAATAGCCAAGTGTCTGCAAGAAAAGAAGGGTATATAAAGAAGAAAACAATGTCCATACCAGCACCCCAGCTATATACTCTCCTGTCTGTTTACCAGCACCCCGTCGCGCGTGTTTGATAAGGAACCAGCCTCAACCTTGACCTCAACGTTGACAACCTTCAGACTTTGTCGATGATAAAAAAAAAAAAAAGGGGGGGGGGCATCTCGTGGTTAACAGCAGGTCTGCCCGACCATTATTATGTTGCCCACCTCGCCCATTTCAGAGATCATCCCGATCCTTTTGGTGAACGGTGTGTGCTGAACTAGATTATTTGTTCGTCTTAGGCTTGCGAACGCTCCTATCATCTTGTTAGGTCCACATTCCCTGAATTTTTCCCGACCGATCATAGGACACATACGGAGCACAACCCATGGGTGTGTTAACACCAAGGAAACAGTCGCCATTATCTTTGGGGATGACCTGGTCCGGCTTGACGGGGATGATAACCAAACCGGCACTGGCGAGAGAGGTGCACAGCGAGAGGATGGCGGCGGCGACAGTGATGGGCTTCATTTTGATATTTTGGGGAGAGGATAGGATCGGATTGGATTATCGAGCCCAACAGGGGGGTGTTGGATTAAACTTGGACGGTAGAGAATGGAATAGGTATTCAGACCAGCTGCTGAGAGCAAAAAAAAAGGCTTCCCGAGCCTAGGTTGGTGTGTAGAATGTAGTGGCGATCAAGCGATCAAGCGATCAAACCACTTCACAAAAGACGGAAGAATGAACAAAGAAGAATACAATAGTGGCAGGGCCATCACCATTTAGAAAGATGGGATGGGGAGAGATGGCAAAAAAGCTACTACAGAGCCCAAACACAGAGTATTGGCCAAGACTGATACGTAGAGTCTCCCTGAATCGCATCATCCAAAATGCTCCGTTGATACGCCGGAGGAGAGGCCCCGGCGGCAAGCCCCCGTCCCATCTGAAACTCGTTTTCGCCTCATCATCAACTATGACGGACGGGGTAAATAAAGTGACGGACTGTGGGCGAGCTGGGCATCACGCTTAGGTCAAAGCAGCCACCCCCCCCCGCCTTGAAGGAGCCGTCGACGCAACCCAAGGCTTTTTTAAACCATTCGCTGCACCTTCTTCAGGCCAGCGCCGGCCCAGCGTGCCGAGCATTGCCCTGTGTTAAGTAAACACCCCAGGCTGCTTCGGGTCGGCCACCAGCAACCGTCGCAGCCGCAGGTACCTAAGTTTCAGGCCTAAAACGTCAGTCAGGTGATCTGCAACTTTGAAAGTTCTTGGCGAGCGCTTGGGTACCACAGTAACGGGCCACTCGGAGGAACTGCCATGAACTAAGTCCCAGACCCCAAGCTCAACCCGAGCAAAAAATACGGCGGAGCGGTCTGGAGTTTCCTCCGAAGCAACCCATATGCTTTTTTATTCTCTTTTGATTATTGATGTCAGTTGTACCACTCGCATTTGGGTGGTGATGTTTGAGATGTGTTGATAGCAAGAAAAGCGATCACGCCAAAAAAAAAAAAAAGAAACAAAAAATGCGCAAGCGAAAGCCCCCTCCGCGAGCTGGACCCCCAAAGCGGGTATCTTTGGCCTGACAAGATGCCCAAAAGAAGTGTAGCACAAGCATGACTGGCGTCTGCTGTCACGTGTTGAATAGCGTGCTGCCCGCGTTGTGAACAGTGCGAAACGCAGGAGTGAGGCCCAAAGAGGTAGAAAGATGCCTCAGCACAAGTACAAGTGCAAGTGCACAAGTTGAGCAATAAGGCATGAGTCTCACGTCTTGTTTGGCTGGCATCCACTCACAGCGCTTGATCGGGTTGATTGAGGACTCCGAGCTTCTCTACACAGTACTTCCACGTTGAGAGAGCCTGGTCTGCAGTGTTTTGGGCCGAGAATGGAAGCCGAGGAAGGGAGGAAAGGGACGAGGAAGGAAAAGGGAGACTCCAGCCCTGCTTCTAGCTTCCAGGTTGTTGGAAGAAGCGAAAGCGATTCCATTCATTCGGGCCCGGGGAGCATTCTCCAATTCCCAATTTGCCCCAATCCCCCCTCCCCCCCCCCCCCCAAGTTCCCTTCCCATGGGATCGGAGCCTCAGCTCTGAGGTCGTTGGGAAAGCCATCAGCCATCTCAGCCCAACCGAATCCCAAATCCAAGGACGCGGCGCCGACTGCCAATTACCAACTGCTAAGTAACTGCCAAATCTCCCAGCAACTTGAGCCTAGGCAACCTGGGCCTTTGCGTTCCTTTAAAAACTGCCCAACTGAACTTGTCGAATCTTGAAATCTCCATCTCCGTATATCTAGATCTCCGTTTGAATCTCTTAACTCTCTTCCGCTCACTTCACATAAAAGACTCTGCACGACCGTTCCCCGCGACCATTTCACCCTCCTTCGTCGCAACGCCAGAGAAGCCGAACCCCACAACTGCAGCAACCAAGCCAAGCGATCCCAGGTCCGGTCTCAGGTGCCAGTTTCACTGTCAGTGTCTCATCTGCAGCCTGCGCTCGGTCTCCTGCAGGACCAAAATCGCATTTCCCGTCCCCTTTCCCGTTCTCCCCGTGCCGGCCCCGATATTGAAGACATCGGCATCCGATCCGCACCGCACGGAGCTTCAGCAGCACGGTCCCCGTTCCGTCGTCAGGTGTAATCCGTACTCTGATGGGCGACGACGACCATCTTCGTCTGCTGCCTCACTGTGGCATCTGCGATGAGAGGATCTGGGACGGCGAGTGGACTGTAGCATGTATGGATTCCCTTTTTTTTTTTTTTTGTCTTGCTTGCTTGTTTTTTGTTTGTTTGTTTGTTTGATATATTTTATAATTTCTACGTACTTTATTTCCTTCCTGGCCTCTCCGGCTGGCGACGGCGATGGTGATTAAGCGCTCGTTTGCCCGCTGGAGAAGGAGTAGAAACATGCTACAGCGTTACTGCGTTGCATCGCTGCGACCCGCAATCCTTCAACGCTTTTGTGTAACCCATCCTCAAGTGTTAAATCATCGTTAGCTAACGTGAATCTCTCCGCCGTCTTTCGCGGTCGGTCTGCTCTCCCTACAAAATAGTCCGCGGCAAGGAAGATGATGCTGTCCCGTACAAGTCCCGAACCCGCTTCTTCACCTTCCCGCCTATCGGCCCGACCAACGAGCGCGTTAGCGGCTTCCGGCTATGCCGTGCCCCAGGCTGTTCCTCATGTGATACATCGCCCGAGTTCGTCCTAGCCCACGCCGAGTGTTATCACGTCTTTGCCGAGTATTGTGCTGCTCTCTCTCCCTCCCCGTCTGCTGTCTCTTCTCCTCCTGTTTCTCCTCCTCCTCCTCCTCCTCCT